GTCCTGATTTAAAGCAGGTCTGCTGCTGCTGCTGCTCTGTGCATACCCTCCAACATTTATCCAATGAAAATAGGGACGTCCCATTCCATAATTTTACTATTTATACCCCACACATCTTACTGGGTTGCCCCAGCCACTCTGAGCAGCTTTCAACATATATAAAATAATAAGAAAACATTAAACATTAAGAAAACTTCCCTATACAGGATTGCCTTTAGACGGCTTGGGGGTCATACCCTCCAACATCTCTCCAATGAAAATAGGGACATCCTAATGAAAAGCAGGACATTCTGGGATCAAATCAGAAACCGGGATGGCTTCTCTAAATCAGGGGTGTCCTGGAAAATAGGGACACTTGGAGGGTCTGCTCTAAGCCCAGCAAAGGGGAAAGAAGACTTTATAATAGTGTTCTGTGCTGATTGCCAGGTCATATGACTAAAATGAATGAATTTAAGATCCAGCCTAAGTTCTGCCTATCTAGTCTTGCCCCCCACTACACCTCCCAAAATGCTCCTTTGGAGGGACTTACATATGGATTGGCTCAGTCAGCTGCAGCTCACTGAACCTTGGCTGAGAAAGTTACTTGTATATGTGACTGAGCAGGTATTGGGGTCATAACACCACTTGAGCCCAAGATCTGATTCTTCCTATGCTCCACTTCCTGGCAGATCTTGCCTTGGTTTAGGAGAAGTTTCACAGCATCTTTCTTGTCAAAACATGCTCTTATTTTCTCATGGCTAGTCTCTCTTTTATGATTTCATGAAGGTGCTGCCTCTTTCTGTGTGCAATGACAACTGCTATCCAGGCTTCAGCAGGAAAAAAAGGGAGGGAGAGAAATTTTGCTGCTATGATTGTGCTCCGTGTCCAGAAGGGATGATCTCTGACAAGAAGGGTAGGGGACATAATGTTGAAGGCATAAGATTGATATACATGAAATGTAATGTTTGTATGCATTGAAGTTTAAAGCCAGTGTAATGATTTCCATTTTGCAAAGAGAATTTTGCATTAGGCAAGAGCTGTATCTCTAGGCGAATGTGGCAAGAAGAGTCCAGAGTTTTCTTTTTGAGTGTTTAAGGCTAATGGGACTTGCAAGTGGTCTACATTCCAATAACTATTGAAATATGGACTTCTGCAGCTTCAACAAGATGGCAGTGTTATTTTTATTTATTTTATTTAACAAAAATAACTGTTTTAAGACAGGCCTGAACCAAGGACTGTAATTTATCTAAATAATCCATGTCATGCAAGTATACTTGGAGCTGCTTTATGTACATTCAAACGAAAGTTCTTCAAAAATCAAACAGAAACAGCTTGCAATATAATAATATTCACCACATTTCATATAATAAAATTACTATCTACGTAGAAAGCACAAACTATTATTTAATGAGAGATTTCCTAGTCTACAGAAAATCACTCAATCACTGCAATCCACCAGCTCAAGTTAAAAAACGTCAAGAATGCGGAAAAGAGACTCTTTCATTGGCTGCTACTACAGATTCCATTTGATGGATGTTTGTCAATATATTGAAATATTTAAATAGTTCTTCTTCTTTTTCAGATATGGATGCTTGTGTCAATTGTCCTGATGATAAGTATGCAAACAAGGACCAAACTCAGTGCCTCCCTAGGGTGTCAAGCTACCTCTCTTACAAAGAAACTTTGGGGTTCATTTTATCGATCTTTGCCATTTCTTTCTCTTTAATCACTACTTTAGTATTTGGAACTTTTGTGAAGCACAAGGACACTCCCATAGTCAAAGCCAACAACCGGACCCTCACCTACACCCTCCTCATCTCCCTCCTGCTTTGCTTCCTCTGCGCCTTCCTCTTCATTGGACAACCTGGAAAGGTCATCTGTCTCCTCCGACAATCAGCCTTTGGCATCATCTTCTCTGTGGCCCTTTCCAGCATTTTGGCCAAAACCATAACAGTGGTTCTAGCATTCATGGCGACGAAACCAGGATCCAGGATGAGAAGATGGGTGGGGAAAGGACTGGCAAATTCTATTGTCCTTTCTTGCTCCTCCTTTCAAACAGGCATTTGTACTCTTTGGTTAAGTACTTCCCCTCCGTTCCCAGATAGGGACATGCACTCAATAAATGGCAAAATTGTATGGGAATGTAATGAGGGTTCAGTTACCATGTTTTACTGTGTCTTGGGCTATATGAGCTCACTGGCCATTGTCAGTTTCTTTGTGGCTTTCCTAGCCAGGAGGTTGCCAGATAGTTTCAATGAAGCAAAGTTCATCACCTTCAGCATGTTGGTCTTTGGCAGTGTTTGGTTATCATTTGTTCCGACTTACCTAAGTACCAAAGGAAAATACATGGTGGCTGTGGAGATTTTCTCCATCTTATGCTCCAGTGCTGGCTTACTGGTTTGTATCTTTGCTCCTAAGTGCTACATCATTATGCTGAGGCCAGAGCTGAACAACAAGGAGCAGCTAATAAGAAAAGCAAAATGAAAGAATACGTCCACCTTTTCATTGTGCATATATGGAAATGCTGATGCTACAGATCTTGTGAGAATTTGAGTATGTGTACTTGCTGAGGCAAAAATCTCTGTTCTTGTTGGTAGGCTTGAACCAGGCACAGCCCACCCTAATAGGTTGCCCTTCTTGATTCCGCTGTCATTTTCTGCTTCCCTATCCTGAAGGTGAGAAATGCAAGCCAGGACAGGCTTGCATCAGTCAATCAGTTCCTCTCAAAATGGCACAGGTCAACTGTGTCAGTCCCCTTTCCCTTGCCACTGCTTTTCATTCTGCATGTAGAACTTTTTAATTTAGAAATATTAGAGCAGGAATACTTGCCTATGCAGACATCCCTGCTCAAATCATTGAGCTCAGATTACCTATAGTGATCCCATCTTGATTCTGTGCACAAATTATCTACATATGCAGTTCCAGAGAGATTGAAACAGGACCCACAGCTGATTCTTCTTGTAATGTTTTTCCTCATCCTTATATAGCTCAATTCATGATGGGAATAAATTGGGAATGAAAGGTATCTCAAATCATGAGGGCAGTGACAGAGGCCAGACCTGCATTCTGTTACACAGGCTTCCTCTTCTTAAACCAACCATGCATCCAGCCATAAAACCATAAAAATTTAAGTTTATCCTAAATGCATAAATCCCTGGTTTCACAAACATCAGTTACAAACATTAAGATGACAGTCACAGTAGTCATTTACTACACATGTACTGAATTATTAATTGAAGTTAATTAGTTGGATAAGTTACTTTCAAAATGAAAATGGATATCTACATGTCTCTGAGGCTGACCCCATTTGTGAAACGTATGTGAAACTGATTTGTATTAGTGGAGACTGGTGGAACCTAGACCTGGTGGGGCACCTGGGAGGTGAAGTGAGTGATACCAGGAGGTCAAGTGGACAGTGCTTAGAAGGCCAAGGAGGCCCCATGGATGGCATCTAGGTCCCCATCCACCTCCCTTTTGAGTAATTTTGTTACATACCTACATACAAAAAAATAATATTTGTATGCCACCTTTCCACAGTTTGAACCATGCTCAAGGCAACTTAGAATATGAAAAATGCATAACTACAACACAACAAAAGCAAAAATAAACATGTTAGCATATGTTGCAATTATATCATCTGCAAATCAAATTAATTCATTTATAATAACAAAGTATTGTGAATTATACAATGGGACGTGATCTGCAGAAAGAGATGCACCTACCATAAAGCTTCAACTTCCCCAGCCTATGACTGAATTTACATCTGGGCTTTCATCTTATTCTCAATAGTGTGGTAATGTGTATGCATTGCTACTCTGGACAGTGCATTGTTAATCATTGTAAGAGGGTCCATCTGCTTCCCAGGGGTAGCACAGGAAGAAGAACCTCTTTCTTGGTTTTGATGTTGTTGTTGTTGATGATGATGATACTGACTGTAGTTAGAGGGTCTAGGCCACTCAGGGCTCTGTGACAGCCAAGCTTCATTAGTATACAGCAGTGCCTGTTCTTAGTGAAATCCTGAGAGACTATCTCTAATTCTCTTCTGTATCAAATATGGGTGAGGTGTGGTGGAATTTAACTCTTGCTCTGGACAGAAGCAGCCTGGACTTGCTCAGCCTTGTGTCACTTTCTATTTTATTTCCCAAAGAAAAATAATAGTTGTATGATTTAAAGGTGAGGGAACTCCTGGCAATTTTGTCATGCATCATCCAACTGCAAAGGACAAGTAGGGAAGTGATAATTATCCCAACTATGCCAAAATTACAGTTTTCCATCCTCTTTCACTATGGACATCTGGAGCCCATTAACATGATCAACAATCAGTATGGGGGGGGCATGGTTATAAAACCTTCATCTGAAATGAATCTAGGAGTAGGCTGAGCTGTGTCACTCTTTCCTTTGAACATTCCCAGTTTATATATTAGGATATGCTTCCACCTCCTGAATCCATCATATTTTTTGATTCCTCAGATCATACTATGAATATCCATTTTACTTGATCCTTTCTGCCTGCCCACTTGACATTGCACCTTCCAGTGTCTTACCATGAAAAGTAGGACCTCATTAAGGTGGTTTTAATTCACTCACGAACACCCATCTACAATGCTTCATAGCATTCTTCTTATTGGCCAGTATCTTGTCTATTTTATCATAACTGCTTTTAAAATTCTAATTTACATAATTTAAAGATTGATTGAAAATATCGGGGGGGGGGTTCTTTGCAAACAAAGCAAAACCATTGTTACCTATAGCTGAAGAGCTATATACATGCGGATTTCAAAAGAGGGGAGTGGGAAGCTTACTGTTCTCACTCACCTTTAAAGCGAGAAGATAAAGATAATTCACTGTTTAGGGATACTGATGGACAAGGTGTTATTATTAACAATAAGAACAAGTGCACAGTTTTTGTTACGCACCAAGCTGAAAACCACGGTAGCTACAGTCTCATCCGCCATTCAAGAAAGGCTGTAGCAAAGTTGGGAATACCCACATATACTGCTATAGTGGGAAGTATGGGAATCTATGTTGGGAAAGGACATTTTGTCATCAGAATCATGCTAGTGGTTGTGTTGCTGCTCGTACTGTTATGTCATTCTGTATGCAAGACACATTCTATTAACTGCAGCATATATGATGATCCTCTCCCTATTCCTCATGAATTTTACCAGCCAGGAGACCTTATCATTGGTGGGATTGTTTCTCAAGTTATCTTTCTCTATGCTGACCTCCTTTTCACTGAACAGCCTGCACAAATCTTGATCAATGAACCTATGTAAGTCATTTCTCTGTTTCTCATTCTGTAATATGTTTAGACATAAGTAGCTGAGAACACATGGTTATGAAACACCAGGCTTAAGAATCAGCCTTCCTTTTTAGTGTGCTAAAAATTCAGTCGCAGATACATCTAGACATTAACCATATAACTATGAAGATAGCTAAGACAGTCGGACAGATATAGCCTTCTATATTATACTGATAAGCACAAATGACTAGTATGTTTTCCGCCACAATCACCCTTGAAATGAATGGACCTTTTCCATTTCTACAGGATATGGAAGATTATGTCCTTGTTTAGTTAGTTTGACAACCATTTCTGTTCTTTCCACAATTTGTTTCCTTTCATTATTTCCCTTCATCTGCAAGTTCTCACATGCATTCCCAATCTTCTTCCTTTTTATATTATATTTTATAAGTATTGCCATGTTTAATTTCTCCTGTAATTTTCACCTTTGCAGTTTCTCAGCCTGTTCCCATCTCACAAAGGGACAAGTGCTGAAATTTGAAGTGCACTTCAGAGGTACCCTGAGTCAAACATGATTCCTTTAGTCATGTGGGAATCACAGAAATAGGCAAGAACATGTATGATTCAGGGTGTAACTGATTTTACCTTACTGTATATTTCTTCCTTTGTTGGATCTGTGGTTAAAGGGATTCTGAATGGTAGGAATGTATTGATTGAAAAAAATATGAAGATCACTGGAGAGGACACTGGAGAGTGGGGAACCTGTGGCTTTTTGGATGTTGTTGAACACCCATCAACTACAAGCACCCTAGTTACATGTCAGAGATGATGGGAGCAAGATATGACAGACATAGGTCCCACAGACCAATTGTAGGCAGAGGGAGTGACACTAGTAACTAAAGGTAACAGCTGATTAAGCACCAGAATAATCCTAAAACATTCTGACATTTTGCTTTTCAATTCATGGGGGAAATAGCTATTTTTGATGTCTTACCTTTTTCCCACTGCACTGTATTAAGCTATCTTAAAAGCATTTAGATGAATTATGACTTAGATGAATTATGAAGAGTTCAAAAGCATTTTGCGCTTGTTATTTCTGTTGCTGTTGTATTACTAAACAGCTGCAACGCTTTTTATAGCTCAGTGCCAAAGAACTACCAGCACATCCTGGCCTTAGCATTTGCCGTTAAAGAGATCAATGAGAATCCCAAAATCTTGCCAAATATCTCTCTGGGATTCCACATCCTCAATAGCTACTACACTGCAAGGATGACCTATAAGGCCACCCTCAACCTGTTTTCTGCACAGCATAGATTTGTCCCCAATTTCAAAGGTCACAACAACAAGAATCTAATAGCTCTCATTGGAGGAAGTATATCTGAAATCACTGCTAATGTGGCCATTGTTTCAGCAATTCAAAAGACTCCACAGGTAAGCTATGTGTATGCAGATTTCAGAACTTTTGCATACCATATTGATTTCTGCCTAGCAATTTAAAAAGGTTCCCATGATATTTTGGTTAACAGAGTGGTTAAATATGAGCTAAACAATATCAAGTGGTAAATAACTTGTTTTTAAAAAGGTTAGTCAAAGAGTACTCATCAACAGATCAGAATGCTCTAAAACTGGATTTCCTGCATTATCTGGGGACAATGGGTGAAATGGCCTACAAAAGCCTTTGAGTCTCTAGAATTCTATCATAATCCATCTTCTTATGATTCATTTGATTTTTTTTTAATTATTATTTCAGCTCACTTATGGATCATTTTTACCACCACAAGGATCCAAAATGCAATTCCCATTTTTGTACCAGATGGTCCCAAATGAAGTCTACCAGCAAATGGGAGTCATGAAGTTACTTCAGCATTTCAGATGGACATGGATTGGGCTCTTGGCTGTGGATGATGACAGAGGGGATAGGTTTTTGCAGACAGTTGTACCAATGCTTTCCCAGAACGGCATCTGTTATGACTTCATAGTAAGACTACCAAAATGGAATTATGTGGATGAGTTGATAGAGTTGCTTATACAGCAGTGGCAAAGCTATGCAATGGTCATTCAAAGAAAAGCCAATGTGTTTTTTGTATATGGAGAACCTCCATCCTTTCAGGTTGTGAGAACGTTGCTGTTTCTAGCACCCTTCTTGGCATGGCCACCTCTGGGAAAAGTGTGGGTTATTACATCCCACTGGGATTTTGCATCACTCTCTGTTCAGAAGATCTGGGATATTCAAACCTTCCATGGTTCCATATCATTGACAGTTCATTCAAATCAGCCATTAGGATTCCAAAGGTTCATTCAGATCATAAGACCTGCGTGGGCCAAAGGAGATGGTTTCATCCAGGACTTCTGGGAACAGACATTCAGCTGTTCATTAAGAATGTCTAAGGGGCTGGAGGAAAAGAAGAACAAATCCTGCACTGGGGAGGAAAAGCTGGACAGCATTTCAGGGGTTTTGTTTGAAATGAAGATGACTGGCCACAGCTACAATGTCTACAATGCGGTCTATGCTGTGGCACATGCTTTACACGCAATATACACATATAGCTCCAAACACATAAGAATGATAAAAGGAGACAGACCGGCAGTGCAAGATGTACAACCATGGCAGGTAATTTCATCTCAACACTTAAAAAAAAGCAAAAAATAATAATAATGGGCTAGTTTATTATTCAGAGGTAAAGATAAATCTTAAGTCAGCCTTTAAAGAATCCATTGGTGGTTTTCTTCTTTTCTTCTTTGTTTTTCAATACAATTTGATACAAAGTGTTTCTTTAGCCACTCACTTGGAGGCAAATGTAGGTGAATATCCATTAGAATTGTAAAGTCGCCACCTGCCCCCAACCTCCCAAAATATATTTCAATGGGATGTCCATTGAAATACATCCAAGTCTTAGCCGTCTCTTTGTTCATATTCTTTTTTAACCTAGGTCCATCACTTTCTAAGGAGCATCACATTCAATAACAGTGCTGGAGAGTCTGTGTGTTTTGATGAAAATGGAGAGCTCGTTGTAGGTTTTGATGTTACAAACTGGGTGGTGTTCCCCAACGGCTCAATAACCAGAGTGAAAGTTGGAAGACTAGAACCTCAGGCTCCTCCAGACAAAACGTTAACAATTAATGAAGACCAAATTGTTTGGCATCAAAGCTTTAACCAGGTTAGACATAAAAGCCTGCTTTTCATGTGATGAATTGTGCAGGGTAGCAGTTTTTAAATGAATAAATTACAAAAAAAAACCCTTTCTTGGTAAAGATGAAAAATGTGAATAGCTCAAACTTGTTTATTTCACCTGCATTATCCTACTTCTTGAGTGCGCTCATGATATAGTTTTGACCACATGTGTTCATTCCTTTCTTTTCTTCTCTTTAAAGAAGGCTTTGTCCCCAACAATGCCACTTGTTTTGTGATCAAATTATGTTAAATAAGGTTGTTGATAAAATAAAATAAAACACCTGGTTGTGTTCCCCTTTTAACGCTATTAAAATGCGTTCAGATCATGAAATCTCTGGCAGCCCAAGCAGATCAGCTTTGCAGAGCTCTACCATGACCTGATAAAACTCAACTGGATGAGATTGTCCCAGGCTGGAAAATACCTTGGATGGCTAAGAGAGATCTTATTTTTTGCCCCTGCAAAACTTATGTCAGCCAGAGAAACTGAATTTCTTATCTGTCTTTCATTTCAAGCTGAAAGAGAATTCTGGTTGAGGCAGATATAAATAAGTGCTTGAAGTTTGGGGAAAATTCATTGGCATCTCTTCTGCCCTCAGTCAATGTCAACAGCCTACTATATGGAGATTTCAAGAAACACTAATCATCCTTCATACATCCTTCATACAGGTACTGCCACTTTCAGTCTGCAATGACTACTGCTATCCTGGATACAGCAGGAAAAAGAAGGAGGGACAGAAATTTTGCTGCTACGATTGTGCTTTATGTCCAGAAGGGATGGTCTCAGGCCATAAGGGTAGGAGACATAACATACAGTGATATCAAGGAGTGTTGATAATGCAACATACTTACCATGCACTCATTTGAAGAATGTGCAACTTTTGCATGTGTATATAAGGTGGCTCCCATATGTTTATCTCTTGAATAATCTAGGGTTCACTGATTTTAAAAAGCAGCAAGCAACTAAGCAAAAAGAGACAATTCATTAAAGATACAGGAAATATAAAAACTGTCAGCATCATGACAGACCAAATGCTTCTTAAAAATAAAAAGAGAAGATGGGGCGAAGCAGGCCTCCGTCTGCCGCTTAAATATGGCTACTGAGATGGCAATCCTTTGTCCCACCCAATCATATCTCAAACACAATGAGAAACTCTCCAGGAGCTTGTAATGCATGCAATTATATTTATCCGAGCTTTTTAAAATAAAATTAATAATAATAATAACAAACACTTAAATCTCTTCCTTTTTTCCCCAGACATGGACGCCTGTGTCAATTGCGCAGAAGATCAGTATCACAACAAGGACCAAACTCAATGCATTCCCAAAGTTCTAAGCTACCTCTCTTACAAAGATGAATTGGGGATTGTCTTGGCTATCTTAAACATTTCTTTCTCTTTCATCACAATAACAATACTACAAACTTTTATGAAACACAAGGACACTCCCATAGTCAAAGCCAACAACTGGACTCTCACTTACACCCTCCTCATCTCCCTCCTCCTCTGTTTCCTTTGCTCTTTGCTCTTCATTGGCAAGCCTGGAAAGGTGGCCTGTTTTCTCCGACAAATCATTTTTGGCATGGTGTTCACTGTGGCTCTTTCTACCATTTTGGCAAAGACTATCACTGTGGTTCTGGCATTTATGGCAACCAAACCAGGATCTAAAACAAGAAAATGGGTGGGGAAAGGACTCACAAATTCGATTGTTCTTTCCTGCACCTTTATTCAAACTAATATATGTACTATTTGGTTAAGTATTTACCCTCCATTCCCAGATGTGGACATGCACTCATTGAAGTGGGAAATCATACTGGAATGTAATGAGGGTTCGGCTACCATGTTTTACTGTGTCCTTAGTTATCTTGGCTTCCTGGCCATTGTCACCTTCATTGTGGCTTTCCTAGCCAGGAAATTGCCTGACAGTTTCAATGAGGCCAAATTTATAACTTTCAGCATGTTGGTGTTTTGTAGTGTGTGGTTATCATTTGTACCAACCTACCTAAGCACCAAAGGAAAATACATGGTGGCTGTGGAGATCTTCTCCATCCTGTCCTCTAGTGCTGGATTACTGGCTTGCATCTTTTTCCCTAAATGCTACATAATTGTCTTGAGGCCTGAGCTAAATAGTAGAGAACGTATAATGCAAAGAAAAGTATGAAGAAAATCTAACTTCAGCTTTTAATGAAAATCTAACTTCAGCTTTTATTGTTTTATACAGTTACTATGACCCCTGAATTATGCTCATGCACATCCTGACCTCTGATGCTTGTTATCTTGCTTAGTCCCCAAGAGGGAAAATGACCTTAAGGGTCAGGGTAGGATAGCATGCAACAACTGCAGCTCCAATGAGAATGGAAAATGTCCATGAGATCTCTCCTCCTTCCTCCATGACTATATGTAAAGTAAATAACATGCTGCCAATATAGTGACGCCATGCTGTTTTCCTCCAGGGTTCATGGGGGCTAGACAGTACAACTCATCTCTGTCATTCCTGGCTGCATAGACATAATGCAGAAAACATTTTGTTCTATTTACAGATATTTGAAGACTTCTACTAGGAAAATAAAGCATTTAAATTGACTTGGAGCTGGCTGGAAATGTGTTTCCTTATTGTATGAAATATCTTTCCCGCCCTTCTGTCCTTTTCTCACACCTGACTAGTTAAGGTCCTCAATATGTGTCTGCATAAAATGATGCTTCCAACAAGTCCAATGGCAGCATAGAAAAACACTATTAGGGGAATGTGTATGCCCATCTAAATAGGCATTCATGTAGCAATCAGAATGGGAAGGGCTCCCCATCTCCCTCCAATATTATATATAAAGTGAAGACTCTGCCAGTATAGTGATTGTGTCTTATTCAATAAGGAATCATGGGAGTTTTCATTCAACTCTGTCTGTTTTTCTAAGGATGGTAAAAGTTGAATTACAATCCTGATGATCCCTGGAAGAATCAGTATTATGCTGATAGCATCTTGGTTGCTTTACAAAGGAAATAGGAGAGGTCTGTTGGCACTATTTGCAATGCATCTTGGGGTATCAAGAAAGAATAGAAGGCAATAGAAGGAATCAGGACCTTCAAGAGTTCAAATAAAATGAGGCTACTATTCATAAGACATACCAATTGGCTTAGGACGTGTTGAAAATGTATTTCATTTGTTTCCTTTGTGCATGTAATGTAGCTTTTCTTCTTTGTACATTTTCTCACATAACTAGCTAAGGCCTATAAAAGGGATCAGCACCAAATTCTGCTTCCAGCCAGATCAATGGCAATGTTAATGAATGTTGACATGGAAATGTGTAAGTCCATCTAAATGTGCTTCCATACTATCTCCTTTGCGGCTTTGGCCGCCAAAACGCTGCTGGTTTTTATTGAAATGGTGTTGTCTTTTCTAAGATCAATTAAAAGAGACTGCACACATGCCGTTGTTGTTGTTGTTGTTGTTTATACCTTGCCACTCTGGGTGGCTTACAGCATATATAAAACATAATAATATGCCTTATTTCACACATACAAGTTTCCTCGTGGGCCATGGGCCCCTGTCCCACCCCTGCATAGTCTGCTTTGGGACTCAGAAGGGTTTGTGCTGCTAGAATTGTGATTATTGCTCAGAGAAGGTGTATGTTTCAAAGGTGTAAAATATTCCTAGCAGCTTCCTAATACATGATTCAACTTTTAAGGGCAATGGCACTCTCAGGAAGTGATCATCATCCCTATCATTATCAAAATTATTGGTTTCCAGCCTCTTACACAAAGGACATTAAGAGCCCATTAACACGACAAACAATCACCATCGATTGGGGCGCAGGGGAGTTATGAAATCCTCATATTGTTCAGAGCTGGGCATAAGCATAGTCAGGGCTCTGTATCCTTTTGCATAATCATTTCACCATAATATGCTATGCTATGATTCCACCAGCTGATTTTCCCATGTTTTTAGCCCAAATAATATACCATGAGTACTGCCGATTATCATCCTTTGTCCTTGTTCACTTAATCTTCCACTGTAAAGTTTTTGAATGTGAAAAATAAACCTAATTAAGGAAGCATTAATTACCTAAGTCTTACCGCACACATTCCTTTACTGTAATATAGCTTATATTCCATTGGACAAAATGTTTTCCAGTTTTCTTGATAATTGACCATTATCTTCCCTCTTTGAACTCAAATATATATAGTTTGTACAAGGATTTTAAAGAGAAAAATCTTACTGCTCTCACTCCTCCTTAAAGTGAGGCGATACTATTCATGGACACTGTTGGACAAGGACCCATTATTAACTACAAGACCAGGATACTGGCATGCAGATTTCCTACAAGGCCAAGTTGTGAATCAGTGTAGCAACAGAACTGTCCACCATTCAAGGAAGGCTGAAGTAAAACTGGTAACAGCTACATATGATGTTGTAGTTGGAAACGTGAGGAACTTCTACATGTGTAGGAAAGGTTTTCTCAACAGGATCGTGCTGGTGGTTGTGTTGCTGCTTGTACTGCTGTGTCATACTGTATGCAAGACAAATTCAATTAATTGTAGCATATATGATGATCCTCTCCCTATTGTTCATGAATTTTACCAGCCAGGAGACCTTCTCATTGGGGAGATTGTTTCTCAAGCCTTCTTCCTCTATAATAATCTCTCTTTCATGGAACAGCCTACACAGGTTGCAATTAATGAACCCATGTAAGTCATTATTTCTTTTCTCTCACTCTTTCTTGTTCTGTAAAATGCTCAGTCCAGTAAAACTGGGGGGAAACCCAATCAATATGCAGCACTGTGCTTAAGTTATTTTTAGTCTCTGGCATGAGAAAAGTGACATTCAGGAATATTTGAGCTTGGTTTTTAAAAATATTTAGTTTAATTTTCATTGATTTGTTTTGGGGGGAAATGATTTAGAAAAATATTTTATTTTTCCTTGAGTTTTCACCCCTGCAGTAAAACCCCTGCCCACTCTATTTCCATATTACACACAGACAACATCAGGGATAGTGCTGAAACTTACAACATACTGGAAAGGGTCCCACAACTAAATATTATACCATAAGAAGGTTATGTGTATGAGTCACACATTTGCAAACACTATCTGGTCCCCCTTGTCCATAAGATTATGTGCAAATGTGCACTAATAACATAGCATATGGATATGTGTGTGTGTGTGTGCTGCAATCATATGAGTTTCTTTAACTTTAACCAATTATAGTAATAAATGCATCAAAATACAGGTGCCCAAATGTGTTCATGAAATGCTTGCATAGTATTGTATATATCTCATTTGACTGAATCTTGGTACAGAGTTCCCAGTGACAGGAATGTATTGATTGAAACAACATGAATGTTACTGGGGAAAATATAGTATTTTGGGGGCAGTGACATTGAAAGATCTTCCCCACAATGTTCTTGAGTGGTAGATTTATTTTGATAGTAGGAAACAAAATTAAGTTTTGGTAGGTGAAAAACAACTTAAGCTTTCTATGAATAGGAACTAATTAATATGTGACTTGATCTGTAGGCTAGCCAGTCTTTTTGTAATTGTTTTCAGACTCAGGAAAATATGTTCCAATCAACCACTGTGGGGATTCTGAATTTTGAGGGTATAAACTTATTTCAACATTTTTTTTTCCTGTATTACTTTTTGTTTTCTTTTAATTTGCTTTGACGTGATATAGTGTGAAGACTAATTCAGTAACTTCTATTCCATTCTATTATATTCTATGGTTTTAACCAAATATTGATCTTAAAAGTGGCAGGTGAGGTGAATGATAATGATGAGTACAAATGCATTATTGCTGCTCCTGTTTGGTGGTCTTCTTCTTCTTCTTCTTCTTCTTCTTCTTCTTCTTCTTCTTCTTCTTCTTCTTCTTCTTCTTTAAACAGCAGTAACTCTTTTTACAGTTCAGTGCCAAAGAACTACCAGCACATCTTGGCCTTAGCATTTGCTGTCAAGGAGATCAATGAGAATCCCAGTATCCTATCAAATATCTCTCTGGGATTCCGCATCCTCAATAGCTACTACAGTGCGAAGATGACATATAAGGCTACCCTGAGCCTGCATTCCACCCAACATAGGTTTGTTCCCAACTTCAGGGGTCATAAGCAGAACAATCTGATAGCTCTCATTGGAGGGTGCATCTCTGAAATCTCTGCCAACATTGCCATCATTTCAGCAATTTGCAAGACTCCACAGGTAAGTCATGTGCATGTGGGTATGGAGATTTTGCAATGGTGGCACACAGTTTAGATTTCAGCAAAGTATTTGATGACATTCCTAATGATATCTTGGCTAGCAAACTGGTTATATAAAGACTAGATGCCAATGCCATCATGTGGATTCAGAAGTCATTGGGAAATTATAGTGGGTGTTCATCAGTGGCTCCTCATCAACCTGGAATGTGATTTACAATGGGTGTCACAGGAATCTGTCCCTGGTCCTGTATAGTTTAATAATATCCCCCCTCAAAAAATAATAATTATGTGATTGTCATACATAAATAATACATTGTGGGAATAAAATAATCCAGCTATCATGATTTTTCAACTTTTACTTAATTTATACTTCCCTATATTTTCCTGAAAACATATATCCCAACCTTCAACAAATGAGTTGTGGCTTTAAACAAAGATTTTATAATAGCCAAACTTTTTCTCCCTGATCAAAATGACAGTAAACACATAGATTTTTTTGATGTGTAATGTACTCCGCCTATTCAAGCAGTGACCTAGTTCATATATCACACTAAGCCAAAGTTAAGTAATAGTTTGTTAAATAAGCCACAAGTCATCACACAGACAGTCTAACAACCCTTAGCTTGTTTCATGCAAGTTCGGCTTACTTTTCTTCCCACCTACTTTGTACTCCCTGCCTGTGGCATTCACACAGGGCCCCCGGTCATTCCACGGACTATTGACCCTGCACCACCACAGCTTATCTCTTCCACTGCCACCAACCAGGTTTCCCCAGTAATATATTCAGACTCAGTCAGGTTGTAACGTATTAACAAAGATTTCAGTTTATTGTGAAGGCAAATGAGTTTTAAACACTGTAATCCGATTCACTCTCTCTGTCTCCCCTCTGTCTCTAACTCACTCTGACTCCTATGCCTCCCACCCACAAGAAACCAACCGAACTAACTGCCCAAAACCCCTGTGATGAGCCTTAAACACAGTTAGGCTCTGCCCCTGCGCTTTCTTATTAGTCAGCCTATTAACCCTTTCTTTCTCTCCCCCAGTACGACATCTCCATAATGAGTGGGCAAACGCCACACTGCCTAATATCTCAAGTGCTTTTGTATCACCCTACTACTGTTTTTGCTTCATTGTGTCCACGTGTGGCTTCCCATTGATTGGCTGAAAGAGGAAGGGTATAGAAATCTATAGGGACATGGGTGCTACTGTGGTCTAAACCACTGAACCTCTTGGGCTTGCTGATCAGAAGGTAGGCGGTTCGAATCCCTGTGACGGAGTGAGCTCCCGTTACTCTGTCCCAGCTCCTGCCAACCTAGCAGTTGAAAGTGCAGCAGTGCAAGTAGATAAATAAGTACCACTGTGGCAGAAATGTAAATGGTGTTTCCATGCACTCTGGTTTCTGTCTCAGTGTTCCATTGTGCCAAAAGTGGTTTAGTCATGCTGGCCACATGACCTGGAAAGCTGTCTGTGAACAAACACCAGCTCCTTCAGCCTGAAAGCAAGATGAGTGCTGCAACCCCATAGTCACCTTTGGCTGGACTTAACTGTCCAGGGGTCCTTTACCTTTA